CCATATAGCCCGAAAAAACCGACAACAACCCAGTGATTCCAGCCATGAAAGCCTTCGACAATTCATAATTACAATTTTCTTGTGATATGACTATCTTTTGTGTTTTCCATCACACCGTAAAAATTCAAAGATCAGAGATAGAGAAAAAAAATCCTCAATTATCATACGGTCATACATCCATTGGACATCCTGCTCCTTTCTTCCTTTTCCATTCTTATTTACGTCTTTCTTGCTTTGAACGTTCGACTCTTAAGTGCCATACGAACTGTTCATTCCACACTGAGGAAGCACAGCTTCTCCAATGAGCTCCATGCATCATCTCTTGATCCTTGAGACGTTTGCTTGAAAAGAAACTTTAAAAAACAGCAACAGCAATACAAAGAAGAGTAAAAAAAACAACACTACTCAGTAACTATGCTTCGAAGGTCATTGAAAGTTTTGACCTGGAGATGAATGTGAAGAGGTGGTGGGTCATTAAGTCCATACTTACAGATGAGTATCCTGTAAGACTATTTCTCAAGGAGAACGACCGCACTTCTGTTTTTCCTTCAGGAGATATGGAGACTTATTTCCACCATGTTAGCTGGGAAATAAAGGATTGTGCACTTTTGAAAGAAAATGCTTATTTAAGAATGAGTCCCATTATAATTTTGTAAGAAAGCACAAAGATATGTAGCTGTTTACAAAAAAATATATATATCGTTTTTAATTAAGAAATTAGAGATATATCTTTATCCCCCCCGTCTAGATATTTGGCATAATTTGATGTTAATTTATTAAATCTGGACTTCAGATAGTGTTTCCCGACCCGAAATGGAAACGAGTGTCCAACGACATTATTTCCTCCACACAATGAACAGAAACCAACAGCAATGGGGAAAAACAAACCATTGAGATTATGCTTGCATAAACTCCAATTTGCACAGCGCCCAGCGACTCCTTGTGCAGTAATTGCTTTATGCGGCTGTAATTGATAACCTGTGAAGACAGCACATCATCTAAACCCCATTCCAAATAATATTTCTGTGTAGTGTTAGCTGTGAATTTACCTTGTACAGCTCTATCGCTATAAATATAATTCCATGTATTAATAGTCACAGAAAGGCTGTAAGTGAGCAACTATTTTTATGAAACGCACCACTATGGATAAATTAACTTTTACAGAAATCTTGTTTACTGTATGATATTCTAAACCACTCAAATAAAATATATATCCAAGAATCTTTTTTCCCAACTGTTTATACTGTGTAATTAATTTCAGGGTTTGTGTTTGGTGGGGGGGGGGGGGGCAGGGATTAAGGAAAGGGAGAAACACAATTTTATTTCATTCACACCTAGCTCCAACAGACAAGAGTTCTTTGTCCCACCCTGGTCATTCCACAGATATATAAACCCGTTTTCCTAGTTCCAACAGACCTCACTGAGGATGCTTGCCATAGATGCAGGCGAAACATCAGGAGAGAATGCCTCTAGAACTTGGCCATATAGCAAAAAAAAAAACCTACCACAACCCAGTGATTCCGGCCATAAAAGCCTTCGACAATACAGTTTTATTGCCTCAGCGTGTTCTTGTTTATTCTGATGGAGAAGCTACAAATAACAACCAACACTGCTCTACAGGCCAACTCACCTAGGTATTCTCTTCACACAGTGGCCAAGAAAAGGCTCATAGGAAACAGCACCTTCCTATTTGTGTTCTCTTACAATGCCCCCGGTGGCACAGTGGGCTAAAATGCTGAGCTGCTGAGCTTGTTGACGAAAGGTCACAGGTTCGATTCCGGGGAGCGGCGTGAGCTTCCACTGTCAGCCCTAGCTTCTGCCAACCTAGCAGTTCGAAAACATGCAAATGTGAGTAGATCAATAGGTACTGCTCCGGCGGGAAGGTAACGGCGCTCCATGCAGTCATGCCGGCCACATGACCTTGGAGGTGTCTACGGACAATGCCGGCTCTTCGGCTTAGAAATGGAGATGAGCCCCACACCCCAGAGTCAGACACGACTGGACTTAATGTCAGGGGACAACCTTTTTACCTTTTACAATTATTATTATTATTATTATTATTATTATTATTATTATTACACTTTATTTGTACCCCGCTACCATCTCCCCGAGGGACTCGGTGCGGCTTACATGAGGCCGAGCCCAAATACAACAATACAGACAATAAACAACAATACAACGCAATTAAAAATAAAAAAATAAAACATAAGCAATAAAATATACAACATTATCACTAAGACAACACACAATTAAAAACAGTGGGAAGGCCAAATGTAAAGTTAAAATTGGAAATAATGTTGGGACATGGACGAAAGGAGATAAGGTGTTTGTAAGGGCGTACTAGCAGACCTAAAGAAATGTAAAGTGCTTTGGAGGACAAAGTGCTATGATATTGTTCCGGGAAGGCACACTGGAACAGCCACGTCTTCAAGCTCCTCCTGAAGACTGCCAGAGTTGGGGCCTGTCTGATGTCTTTAGGGAGTGCATTCCAGAGTCAAGGGGCCACCACCGAAAAGGCCCTCTCTCTCGTCCCCACCAATCGCGCCTCTCCGGATGATCGAAGGGATCATTTGGGTTCATATATGGAGATGCGGTCACGCAGGTAGGCGGGTCCCAAACTGTTCAGGGCTTTGTAGGTAAGAACCTGCACCTTGAATTGGGTCCGGTAGATGAATGGCAGCCAGTGGAGCTCCTTGAACAGGAGGGGTGACCGCTCCCTGTAAGGCCAGTTAACAACCTGGCTGCTGCCCCGTTGGATCATCTGAAATTTCCGGGCCGTTTTCAAGGGCAGCCCCACGTAGAGTGCATTGCAGTAATCCAGTCTAGAGGTGACTAAGGCGTGGACCAC